AGGAATGACAAATTTTGCAAGAAAACATACCTTCTATTTGTTGATTGTTTCCACATGAAATATGTCTATTGATATGTTGTTTTAGTGCACAATAAAATCAGAATCTAACGTGTATTCTATAGCGCTAAGCCTCATTCTCAAGTGCTAGTACTCAAAAGTCTTCTGTTATCCTATAATAATTTGAGAAAATATGTTGTACCTTCATTTTTCCCTGCTGTTTCTGCTATTTGGAATCCATTCTCTGTAAATTTCCTTGGCTACATTTTCTACAACAGAAACATTCCCATCATTCCACGGGCTTAGTGAAGTTCCCTTAGAATGGATTCTCTCTTAATTTACAAATTTCAGCAGAAGCTGAAATTTCAGTGAGTGATTCTGTAGGAAAGATTACAGTTCTGGGATTGGGTTGGGGGGGTTGTTTGTTTTTAGGTGTGTGTGTTATGTTGTTTGTTATTGAGTGTCATAGGTAATAATTAAAGTACTTGTGAAAAATGGAGGCGCAGATTTTTCAGGTGCTTTCTGCTCTTAAATGAATGCAAAGAATCTATGAATTGTACTTAGGAGTCACATCCACCTTAGCCACTAGGTGCAGTCTGAGGAACACAAGTTAAATGAATGTTTAATGGTTCCCCTTAAAAAAACAAAACAAAACAAAAAAACAAGAACAACAAAAAAACCCTACCGACCCCAAAACACCAACCTTTAGTTGACACTTGAACTTTAGAATGTGAGAGGAAGGTTACAATGGACATGTTGTTTACATCTGTAGTTTTTAAAAGGTTTGACAATTCTCATTTTGTAACAAAAGAGTTGTGAAAAAACATTTGTCATATTTTTCTTTCTTTCTCCTAGGGTCTCCAAGCAGCTCAAAAAGAAGCTCAAATCAAAGTTCTTGAGGGACGCCTTAAGCAGACAGAAATTACTAGTGCTACTCAAAACCAGTTGCTGTTTCATATGCTAAAAGAAAAAGCTGAGTTAAATCCTGAACTTGATGCTTTGCTTGGTCATGCTTTGCAAGGTAATTTTGTCATCTTGTGTTCTGAATAGTCAGCTGCATGTCATGTTTGCCTTTCGTGCATGCTATACTGGGCATTCTAGGCTACTTCTTTTCTGAATAGATGCTGTATTTTAACACCTTAAACTATTTAAAAATTGATGTGCATGTATGTAGTTTTAAAATGTATACATTCGGCAGTGAAATGTAAAAAGTAAAGAAGTAGGGCCTTTTTATTATTGAGACTTGAAAAATTCATCTGCTTGTTATTTTTACAAAAGACTATGCATTCACAATTTGGTGTGATTTTAACTTCTGATTGTGGAATTCTAAATACGCAACTTATTCAATCATATGTTAATGATTTTGAAAGCGGCAGCCTTTTTCTGTTACGGCATCTATTCTGCTTCTTATGAGATGACAGAAATTTAGAATACATTTGGGTACTTTTGTTTTATTTCTTTTTATAAAATGGATATATTTTGATTGGAGTGTTGCTTTTGTTTCCTTGTTGCTGTTATTTACACAGACCTAGATAGCATACCGCTGGGTAAGTATGTTTAGCTTTCTGTATACTGTGCAGCTGCATGAGCTACTAATACATTCATGTTCACTAACTGGTACGTCTTAGAATTTGTGAGTGTGTGAAGTTTGCATGAACTATCCTGTAAATGTACTCATTATCATGAGCTTACAGAGCATTTCTTCCTTTCTGAAGCCACTCGTAGCCTTCTTCATGTTAGTTAGAATTGTCAGCTAAGCAGTCAACACAGAGCTGTATTTCAAATTTATGACTTGTTGCTTCCAAACCTATAGTATGTTCAGACTACATAAAGCTATTTTGTGATGTACTACTGCTGTAGTTGTGACACATAGTGCTCATCTTTTTAGGTCTGGAAAAAAGTAATAACATGCAAGTCATATAACCTTCTGCAGATAGCTCATTTTGTAATGTAAATATTGTGCAGAATGCAGATTATATCTCACTTTTTCACTTTGGTTTAGCTACTGACTTTCCTGATTTTGAGGACAAGTCTTTGTTGTTGTTGCTTATAAATGATTCCCAAGCAAGTTAGGCTAATCTCCACTCCCTTGCTCCTAGCCACAAAATTTACTACGTTTCAACCTTGAAAATAATATTTCTGATGTCAATAACAATTCCTTTTGTAATGTTTTGTGTTACTTCTAGTCCCACTATGCTGTCCTGTGCTAGTTTGCATAGGCATGTGAAACATTTCAAAATCACAAGACTGCTTGAAAGTGTATAGATGATCTAGTGTAAGCGGGTGAGAACTTTGCCACCTTCCTGACAGATCCTGAATATCTCTGAACCTGAAGATCACCTGAAGATCTCTGGCTAGGACATCCTGCTGCATACAGCCATTATTTTTTTTTCAGGAACCTCAGTGGTTATTGATTACTGTAACAGATCTAAACGAGACCCTTAATGTGTGTGCGTGCTCACCCCTGTTGGAGTGAGAGCAATGTTTCTCCAGCCAGGAAGTTAGCACTGCATTTTCTTTATCTCTGGACAGGCTTTTACTTATTAGCAGCATCTGGAGGAGTGAAAAGATACTTGTTAAATGCATTGAAACAGCAGCTCTGATGTCAAAATTTTTGTAGAGTATATCTCATTAGAGAAGCTTTTTAACACTTTGCAAGCATGAACTGAGGCTTTTAAAACACCTAAGCCATTCAGGACTATACTAACACCCACAGTGAAGTTTCTTTCCTATAAAGTGTACCTTGGCTCAATATGCCATACAGACATCAGTCCACACTGAAATCCAAACTGTTGATGGTCTGTGTTTTGTTTTCCTTCCTGCCTGTGACATCTGTGACTCGTAGCTGTGTATGTGCAGATCCTGAGAGGTCTGGTCAAATACAATTTCCTCTGGATGAACTGTGCTGGTGTACAGCATTGTTCTGGTACTGTCTAGTTGCCTCTGCAGGAAGACAAGTCATCAGAAGACCTTTCCACAGTTCTTCAATCTTTAGCTTATTCGCAGTCATCTCAGCTGCTCCTTGCAAGCTGTGCTGCCTTTACTAACTTTATTACTCCTTTAATTTCTTCTCGCTCAGGACTTCTTGCAGAATCTTGCTCTTCTGCCTCTTCTCATTTCTTTTTGCTGTTTCTGTGTGTTGGAGCCTTTGTGCAGTTTTTCTGCTCTGAATTGCAGGCATACTGAAATAAGACACTAGTCTGTCAGGTCACATGACTGTGAACCTACAAATAAAATCCTATCTTTTGTGGCTATCCCACACTTTCTGCTTCATTTCCTGTAAAAGCTGATTGCAAGTTCTTTGAGAAGAGACTGAATTCACACCTCTCTAATATAAATTTTTTAAAATTAATAAAAATTTAAAATATTAATTTTTTTAAAATGCAATTTTTAATTAATGCTGCTTTTGTGCCTTGCTAGAAGGAGCATCACTCTTTGCAGAAAACACAGAGTAATAACATGCATAGAAAAGGTTTAACGTGGGCTCAAATCCAGGATGGAACAAAACAGGAAGTTCACAGGGCTATTTCTGTGACTCGGCTTTTTTTGTAATGTTGTTATATTTCTGATAATGAAGGTTATGTTATTAAAACTAATACAGTACCTTTGAAGTGCAGTGTTGGTGCTGGACTGATGCATGGTTTTAACTTCTTCAGGAACATTTTTAGATGTAGCATACATGAGAAGGCAGCATTTTCCTTTTCTTCATTCCTCCTCAGAATTCAACTAGAGACTATATCTTTCCTTCCACTCTCCAAAACATGAACTTGCACTTAAAACACAGACATGGGCAAACCTATTTTAATATGGGTACCAAATATGTTGGTTGTTATGTTGTTTGTGTGCGTTACAAATGGTATCTGCTTTCTGGCAGAAGTTAAGTAAATAAACTGAAAGCATCTCTGATAATAAACAAAAGATTATATGGAATGTCATTAGAAGATTATTTCACCCTTAGAATTTCATTATTATGTTAAAAAGTAAGGGACTTTGCTTGTAGGAATGTATTACCTGTGTCCTTAAACTATGTTTAAAATGTATTATTACAATAATCTGGAAGTTAGGGGATCAGGTTTCCCTGCAGTTTGGGACTGATTGTACATAAGCCCTGAACTGTTTGTCTCAGCTTAATGTTTTGCACTGTTTGCATGCAGACATGTTGATCTGATGTTTGGCAGCGTTAGCATGTGACACGCATGCTGGTTTTGTCTTTTGTGGGCAGGTTTGTGCACACATTTTACCTTGGGAGCATTTCTACTGAACATCTTCATTTTACAATTAACTTCAATGCAATTAATCTCTTTTTAGGAAGCAGTTCTGTAGTATTAAATAGTGGCGTCATCCTGTTTTGAAACCTAAATGCTTACATACTAATAAGTGCTTGCTTCTTGTCAGCCCAAATGGTGCCATTCTGTGTAAGCTGAGTCTGAGCCTCAGCTCAGTGTCAAAATACAGTTTTATTTTTTCATTATGAACAGGCTGATTCTGTCTTAAAGCAAGATTGCAAAAAAGAGGGGGAAGGGACATCCTTACTGCCCATTGATGTGCATCCTGTCTCTTCTCTGCCTTGCAGTTAATTTCTTTTGCTTTATCATCTTCCTTCCATATTTCTTTCTAGAACTTATTTCTGTTTTTCTGTCATCCCTGTTGCTCTGCCACAATAAAGGACCACATATTGGCACAATATGCCTAACTGTATGATTTATTTAGACTGTATATATATTAAAAAAAAATTAGTTTAGATACCAGGAAAATTCAATGAGCATTGGCTAGCAAATAGTCAAGATATTTTAAAACCTCCTGCCTTTGGTATGCTATTCATCCATATTCAGCATTGAGCTGTTTTGTATAGCATTTAAAACCTGCACATCACCTTGTAGGTGGACAGACTAACATTATTCTTTTGGAAATTTTCTAGAAAATTTGGAAGATAGTACTGATGAGGATGCCCCATTGCATAGTCCTGGGACAGAAGGAAGGTGAGCAATCTTTGTTAACAAGTAACTGGATCTACTTCTGGAAAAATTACTGTCACTTCCTCTTTTTGTAGTGCATTGTGTATCCCTTAGAGGATACCTCTGACATTGTTTCATTCCACTTTGCCCACCATTTCAGTAGAAAGAAGAATCAAACAAAAATACATATTCTGTGAAAATATTACTGATTTTCCCTCTAATGGTGATGTAATTGTTTCTTTTAGTTCGTTATCTTCAGATCTTTTGAAGCTTTGTGGTGAAGTCAAACCCAAAAGCAAGGTAGGCTGTAGGATTGTAGTAATAATGCTTTAATGGCATCTTCTCTGGAATGCTCTTGCTCTGCTTTAGAGACATCAATGAACGAAGACATGAGAAAGATGAACTGATGTACTGTTCATGTGATTTGTGTGTGATATGCTTTTGTGTGATACTCCTCTCAGAGAAGCAATGACAAAACTGTATTTTTTGAATATTTTGTAGTTTAATTTTTACAGTTTCAGATACATTCTTTCAGCACTCCAAACTGTAGTACATTTACAGTTTAGTATTAGCTAGGCTGCAGTTTAATGTTAAAGCCAGTGGGAACTGTGAACATGCATATTATTTGCAGTTTGCTTCTGTGGTCATAGAAATGTAAAGGAAGTTTATAAAGTAAATAGAAGTTTGACCTTCAGGCTCTTAGTTACAGTTGGCACTAGAGAATGATATCTAGTCTGGCTGCAATTGAATATTAATGGCAGTGGGAACTGGAAATGTGCACACTGATTGCAGTTTTGCTTCTGTGCTCACAGGAGCATAAACCAAATTTGAAAAGTAAATAGAAATTTAGCCTCCACTCTTCTTATTGCAGTTAGCTTTGGAGGAGTATATTAAGGTTGACAATTGCATTCTTGGTAGCGTTCATCAGTGTGCAGCTCTTTGGGCACGTAAAGCGAGTGAGTTCTGTAAATGCTGGCATAGAATAAACATGTCATTTTTATATCAGAAGAAGAATCAGTGTTAGAACTCACACTTTGCTTTATTCCTCTCTGCTTTGTAGCATTTCATTTGGATAAACCTTAGGAGAGCAATATTGCACTCCTGTAGTATTGGCAGGCACGTGCAGTTTGTTGAATGGATGTTCTTGGAAAGCAGTTGTCAAATCAGTGTTTCATGCTGTTGAATTTTACTTGCCTCCTTTGAAACACTGGCAAGAGTAGAGCTGAGTTTCTAGATTTATTTTCCAAAGGTTATCACCAAGTGGGTTGAGGTGGATGCTAATTACCAGCTAATGATGAGCTTAAATGTGGCACTCTTGACACAGACCATGAGATGTTAGTCACAACTTGGTTTTCATGTCTCCAGGCCCGCCGGAGGACCACTACCCAGATGGAATTGCTGTATGCAGACAGCAGCGAGTCAGTCTCTGACGTTAGTGCTGCAGACCCTGCTTTGGCTGGCCCTCTTCCATCAGTTGCAGAAACTCAAGAAAGTGGGATGACTGCTGACACAAATGATACTTCTGCTAGGGACAGAGAGTTTATTCCCCCACCATCTGGCTTACCTTCTAAGATAGGCAGCATGTAAGTCTGGCCATGCTGTACTAATTATGCTTTGCTTTTAAAAAAAATGCATGTTGCTCGTTTCTTGTAATCTGTTATTTTAACTTTACAATGGAGGTACTTGAAAAATACTTGAAAAAATACTTGAAGCTTACTAAAAAACACTGACAAAGCTCCTCCTTTTCTACAATCTCTACTATAGATAGTATAAATGCATGGTTGTAAGTAATGTGTTTCTTATGGAAGATACACGTTCTGTTAAGTTGCTTTGTCATAGTAAAATGGGTGTAGTCTTGTTTTTAAGTAGTGGGGGGGAAAAAAAACATCTAGTCCCTTGTTCTGTCCCGGTTAGAAGGCAGAACTGTGTCCCACCTCCCTTATGCCTCAGTTTCCCAGATAGAGAGGTAAATAAGGAAGGCAGGGGTAATGAAAACCTTGCACCAAATTGAAGATTAACAAAATGAAATATATTATTTAACAGGGATCAGAAAGGAAGAAGGGAAGGGGTTTAACAGGGTACAGAAAGGAAGAAGGGTAGGGGTTTAACAGGGAAGGGGGGTTGTAGGAACAACAAGGTAAGGAAGATTAAACTTCCAAATATACAAAACCCAAATGCTATGCTGAGGCTCCCCGGTGCTGGATCTCGCTGGACTGAGGTGGATTGAAGCTGGATGCACAATCCTTGGATGTGGATGGAGGCAGGGAAGAGTCTGTAGATCAGGCCCAGGTCTCCAAGATGGCCACGGCCACGTGTAGCACAGGGAGCAGCAGCGCAGCGTGTGCCCAGGTGCAAGGTCAAAGGAGCAAGAGGAAAAGAGAAGAGGAAGAGAGCAAGGCGTGCCTTTCTCCCCTTTTTATAGACCTTGGCAGGAAGTCCCGAAGACAGGAAAAGGGGAGTGGGAATAGGACAGGTGTACGCCCCTTTCATTCAGGCTTGTACCTGGTTAGGGTTTCAGATCTCCACCCACCAGGGGCAGCAGGTTTCAAACCATTACATCCCTTTGATAATTTGCTGTCTTGATGCTATGGGAAATGCACATTCTAAGGAGGTAGCGAGAATTTGCTTAGAACAGCAGAGAGATTTAAAAAACAAACAAACAAACACAAAACATTCCAAAACCCCAACCTCAAAACTTTATATAATGTAGCAACAGAATCTGTTTATGGTCCTACTTATTAGGTAGAATCTTCTGTGAGTCATCTTGTGTGGACCATGCTTAAAATGGAAGTCTGTACTGTAATAGAGCATGCAATGTAAAATTGAAAGAAACAAATCCCAAAAAATCCTTTCTATTTGTAGGTTGCACTTACCTGCAGAACAGTTTTACTAACTGAAAGTGTTACCTGATGCCAGAAGGAACTCAAAAGACTATTTTTGTCTTTTTACTTGTGAGCCAACAGGTCTATCTCACATGCGCTCTTTTTCACTTGCTCTTGCTTGTTCTTTTTATATCTACCAGTATCACTGTTGGTATTAGCCATTCACTGCTAGAGACTCTTCCTGGCTTTTTAGGTACTGGATCCTGTATTGCACAAACGTGTGTAAACTGACTGTGCTTGCCATATTCAGTGATATGGAAAAACTGTGTCCCACAGACATCTTCATGTTACAGACTGTGAAATTAGGCATCTTTCACTATCCATCTGTCCTATTTGCATAATATTTTTGCAGCAGTCTCCATCTAATATATATATTGGCAATTTGTATTGTTTTTACTACATATTTCTAGCATGTGCTTGAGGTGGCAATCATGAACAGTAAAACACTGCTGACAGCAATTATTAACCCATGCTGATGGCTTCCATGCATTTTACAAGTAGAGTTTGCTTGGAAAGAATGCTCTTGGGGGTGAGGATAGGTGAAGAAATGCACTTGTTTCAGCATCTAGTGTGAGATCACTAGAGACTTTTGAAGCTTCAAGATATAAAACGTCAAGTGTTATGACCTGGCATCCAAGACTCAGGTAATACCAACTTTGCCTCCCTCCATCTTCTAGAATGTGTCCATTTGTGAAAGTGAGCCAACAACGAGTCAAAACAGGATTTTCCAAAAACTGTGTTCCGTGAACAATAGTGTCATGTCCCATCAGTAAATGAGTTCAGTCAACAGAAGGCCTCACATATATATTGTTTTGTTATTGATCATGTTTTATCAGATAAGCGATCAAAAATTTCCCACAATCAGTTTGCAGTTACTTCCTCACCATAACTAAGATGCTGTTTCAAAACTAGAACTCAGTATACTTCTGTAAGTGTTGCTGGCTTTGCTGGTCATTTAAGAAAGGTTGTCTTTGTGAGACATCTGGCATTACTATAAGGGCCTGTAGTGCCACCAGATCTCTTGTAATAAAATACATTCTTCTGGAGTAGAATGTGGTCTTATCTGCAATAAACTTTATCTCCTTTGTGCCACTTAAGTGGCATTCAGAGATGTAGGAGTAGTAACAGTGATCCAAAATATGCATTGCCTGGAAACAACAGAAGTTGATTATATGTTTAGGTACAAATTTAGGTGTCTGCATATGTACAAACTGCTGAACTTTGGAAACCCTGCAGTTTTCTCAGATCTGTGGTGATTCAGAGAGGCACAAAGATGGGTAGGGCTGTTGTTCTATGCTCAGCTGCCCAGCAGCCTCTTCAGAATAGAGTGGTCTCCTGTAGGCCTTGTGCCTGCTGTGTTCAGATGTCTCTGATATCCTGGGAAATCTAAACGGGTACCAGAAACCTATACTTAGGTGTGTGTCTTGCTCCTTTTCATTCAGGTCATTGACATCATATACCTGTTTTTTACATGTATACTTAAGAACTTCATTCCAGCAAGCTTGCTGCGTTTTTATAACACCTGCATTTGCAGGCTTTCAAAAACAGATGATATGATCATGATCTTTACCTTCTTCTGAGCATGTGCCATTGTGGAATCCATTGTGTTATCCCACTTTTTATGTCCTTTGCAAAGTATGCCCAGAGGTAAGGGAGTCCCGCAGAGAAACGGGTGCTCTGGCCTTGAGGAGAGAACTGAACCCACATTCCCCTTCTTTTTGTGGACTTTAACTGCTAGGCTTCTGTGCAAAATTAGAGAGGTTGTAACTTTTCCTCCTTTTCCTGTCCCTTAAAGACCCTTGGGGACTTTAGGGTCTGCATGCACCTCTTGGCACTAGGTCCTACAGATATGACCTTCACCTTCCAATTAGTGCTTGTGTTTACTGTGGGTGTGATCACTTGAGACCATCAGTCTTGGCTACTTGAGTTAAGTTAGCTGCTTTTGGTTGTGCTGTCCTTATTAAATCATGTTATTCTTCATGCCAGTCCCTAGGTGGATTTTTATATGCCATAGACTTCCTTTCAAGGCAAACTGGGACAGATTTTCTCATGCAGAGAAGTTGCAGGTATATAGATCCAGAGCCTGTAGAGCTCTGAGACTAGATGCTAGTAACTGTGTCAGGCAGGTGGCCTGTCAACTGAATTTTGCTTAATGCAGTTTTCTAGCACAAAAGCACTTTCAGAATCTGCTTTCTGTTTTCTAGTGATTGTTTCTGGTCCTTATATTCATAGAAACAACTTCTAAACATGGGGGGGGGGAAATTATAAATTAAAGCAAATGTTTTTTTTTCTGATTGCCCAGCTAGTGAGAGACGTGAATTCAGAAGAGCGGAGGTGATCCAGATAACCTTTTTTTTTATTTTACTGTGGTGAAATGGTGACATTTACATGTCAGCATTAATACTGAACTCTTGATATTTCAACTATTTTTAATGAGGAGTAAGATGCTGGGAGAAAGACCAAGTGACTGGGACTGGGAATTATTTCAGAGAAAGACTAGAGAGACAAAGGAGGGATGGAAAGCAAGGAAGAAGGGAAGAGGGGATGAAGAGAACCAGTTTTATGATAGTCAGCTTTCAAAGGGAAATACTTTTTCTCACTACCTAATTTTGAATTTGATTTTGAAACATGAAAATGTTGATGCAACGTTTAATTCATATTTAAGTGTTATTGTGATTTCCCTGTTCTTCATGTCTGTAAGTGGTCTGTTGTAGATGAAAGCTGTGGAATCTGAAATTTTTGGTCTTAGACCTTCCAGCGTCTCCATGGTCTTAATTTGAGATTCATACTCTGATGTATTTCTTTCAATCAGTCTCTTTTATTATTGAATTAGATCTCCTTTGCATATTCAGTACCTCACTCATCATATGTTGATGAACCAGCTTGGTGTATTTCAATATTAAAATGTAAGAACAAATTTAGAGTCCGTAGATTCGAGAGAGACAATAATTAATTAAGCACATTCTGAGATTTGAAATGTGAGTGAGAGAATGACAGCTAATGTAAGAAAAGCCTTTTTGTAAAGGGACTTAAAGTAAGATAATGCTTCCTCTTGCTTTAGTTCTAGACAGCCATCTTTGTCAGAGAAGAAGATACCTGAGCCTTCACCGATAGCAAAGAGAAAAGCCTATGAGAAAACAATGGAAAAGACAAAGGCAAAAGAACAAAAACTGTAAGATTCTTGTAATTTTATTTTCACTGAAATAATTTAAAACTTGAAAAATTAATCTGTATTTTTCTAAGAAAATATACCTATTTCTTTAATTCTAGGGCAGTTTTTATTGTTGCCAGTAAATTTATTCACTGCTCAACTTCTGTGTGTGTATTTTTTTTCCAGGGTAATTTTTTTTTTTTTTTACAAAACTCAGAAGCAGAGCCCTGAGAAAGTGTCCTTTGGAATATTTCTAAATGACTCCTTTTTTTTTTTTTTTAAATGGAAGTCATCAATTTCTCTAAGAAACTACAGTTTTGTAAAATGATTACATTCTTACATATGCGTATTTTCTACTTGGACCTTTCACTGCTGGCATATAAACTTCGAATGTTGTGACACCCTGCACTCTACAGCAATGTGTAGTCTTAAATGTACCTTCTCTGGGAAACACCTGTAGCTGGCATTATAATTTTATTCACTTAAGAAAAGAGCATCTAACATTTGGGGCATGTTGCATTTAACTTCTCTAACCGTTCATAACCTATTAAAGAGGATGTTCTTTTTTTCTTGTAGCTCAGATACTGGAGGCCCAGAGGCTAGTCTGTCACCTCCTACTTCCCCACCAAGCCGGCCCCGTAATGAAATGAAT